ACTTTCTTGTTTTTCCTCCTTCCACAAAAACCCAAATTCTCCCTTCCTGACTCTTCTTTGTTTTCTATACACCCCATCCTAGACCCCTCAAATTATAAGGTAGAAAAAAATTACCTTTTTGTCCTCGTGGATTTTTATCTAAAATTTTCTTAATTTGATAAATATTGAATTTTTGTTCCAAGGTTCCCTAAGGCTTCTCAAGTATTTTTTTTCCCTTATGCACTTGAGATTCACCCTCTATGTCAATAATAAAATCCAAAAATTTTCAAATTTAAGGTATTAAAGTAAGAGTTATATATCTGTTGTGGCTCGAGTGTGTTACCATTCAAATCCATCAAGAATGAATAAAGCGTAGGCAAGCATTTCATTTTTTCTAATTTCGTTTCTTGAAATTAAGTTCTAAACTTTTAGTAGGTTCATATTGGGGGAATTTCACCCAAGATTCATACAGGAAGCTAGAGTTCATTACGATCTAAAGGCTGTATTTCATTGAATTTAAAGAAATGGTAAATTTCCTAAGTTTTAAATTCTGGACCGAATTTGCACTTTATTATTTCTTGTTGTGGCTAAAATAAACTTAAAAGAAATTAGATAGGCAATAGAAACCTCATCGTATTTCTAAAATAATGAATGTTGGCAAAAAGGGAGAAGGCACGCGTTAGACGACGTTGGCAGTAGCGAGTCTAAAGCTCAGTAGGACAAGTGGCAAATGCTGAGCGGAGAGAATCGTTTAGCTACTAATTGTGACATGCATGTAGGTTAACCCAATCCCTAAACCTGGATTCGATCAAAAGCTTGCGTGTGCAACTCGTTAACCTTCGACCCTAACAAAATATGCAACCTGAACCTGATCCAATGACTCAATGAGTAACCGAGATCTACAAAAAACCTCCATGCATGAAATTCCAAGTGAAAAGCCTTTCCCGACGTGTGTAAGCGCATGTGAGTCTCATTTTGTTCGTTCGACCTCCGTTTGTTAGTTTTTTGTCTTGACTTCGATATTAACATAATTATGCTTTAATTAGGATCTACGAGAGAAATTCCATAAATTCTTGAGCTCCAAACACGTGGAATAGATGGCACAAGAATGTAAATGTCATTCAAGTAAGTAACCACATAAACTTTAGGCAAGTAATACTTGTATAGATCGCTAGGACATGATAGCATGCGAGCATTCCTTAACTTACGTCGTCAAAAACACATGTTAACGACCTCAGAAAAGCTTTCTTTTTATGAGTATGTATTGTACGTATGTCTTTTATGTATTATATGCATGATTAAAATACAAATTGAGCAATATGGATGAGTATGTTATGCATGATGGAAGAAATTACCAAAATGCCCCTATGATAAAATTTCATATGAATGTCGTTTTCTATGCTTTCCATTGCATAGGAAATTAGAATTGGTAAGAGCGACGTGTGCTTCGCAAGCTCTAGAGAATCTTGATAAGATTAGGACGCAATAGCGTGTGCAGAATCTTGATAAGGTCCATAGATTTCTAGTGGACTAAATATGATAAGAATCTTTATTATTTTTAATTTCATAATGTTTGGAATTGTCAAAGGGTCAAATTGACTTCGTCTTTCGTGGAGATTTAAGGGGATCGGAATTAAATCATGGCCACAAATGTCATTTATGGGGAGTATAAATACCAACAAATTGTTATGTAAAAATCAAATTCGTGGATGAATGAAATTGAGATCTCAAATTTAGACGCTTCCTTAGAAATCGGAATATCATATTTGTCATTTCTAAGTTTCAAGCAATTCTTGTGGTAGAATTGCATCCGAGCCATTCAATCAAGCCTTGATTAAGTTTGATTGCGGAGTGACTCGATTTAAAACAAGGTTTCCAAATCTTGCTTCTAGATCTTCGATTGTAAGAGGTAATCTAATTCTGAATTTTGTATAAGTAGATGTTAATTACTTGGATTCAAGTGTTCTTGCTTCAACAAAAGCATGATTCGTTGGATTGAGGATTAGGGTTGCTTTATCAAAATACCCTAGGATAGTGAGCGGTGATAAAAAATCTAGACCTGTGTTTACGGAAAGATGTGATTAGAGGCCCCTAATAAAATAGTAGATCTCCACGACTCCAAAGAATGACCAAGGTAACTATTTAGACTATGAGACGCGTGAATGCTACGCTATCTTTAGACCCTCCAATCCCTTTCCACTACAATATTAGTACTATTGAGCTAAGCACATGCTAGTTAGTGTAGTTTGAGCTTCTATTCCGGTAAATGGCCAGTGGTCTCTTGAATATGACCACTATGTTGTTAACCTGTTCTTTAAAAAGGGAGTGTGGAATAACATGAGATAGCCTAATTGCTGGCTAATGCAGAAGTATCACATCCCCCAAATATAGGTGACTCTCTAGCCTTAAGGAAGAAACCAACCAACCTCTTTTCCAAGATGTTCATTCTAGAAATCACCGTATTTTGCCTGATTAGAATTTTATGAGGACGTGCCTCAACCTAGGTATTCGATCTCTCACTGCATAAGCAAAGCAAGTTTCCATGGTCAAAGAATAGAAAGATAGTACAAATTAGTAAGAAAAGGTATCATCTAGGCTGTTACTTCAACTTCCTTTTACACTTTGGTACAAGTACCGTCGAACCAGGCCTAGGCCAACTAGGATTGTGTGAACGATAGTTCATTTTGATTATCTTGCATAGTAGATCCGTCAAAAGAGGGGATGTAGGATTATGAGGGTAATCGTAATAGTTGACAAGCATAGGGGATCACTTCCCTAACCTTGGGTGACTAGATTGTCCTATGGGTAGGCTTCGCCAACTTCCCATGGATGATGAGAGCAGCCTAGCACTTACCATGCAATCCCAATTAAAATATGGGCATGTATCTTTGGTGCAATGCATATCTTTGTTCATTTCATACATTGCATAACCATTTCTTATCATTACATAAGGTGAATGTACTCTATGCTACCATACTTTCATTATATGTCACATTCGCAATAGCATAATAAGTAAACATAAAATTACAAAACGTAACATTTGTCATCATAACAACACGTCATAACATAATATGCAAATATAGAAATCACAAGGGACGACACAAGCAAGGGCCACTAGGCATCTGCCACTCGTGCTTCAAACAACTCGTCGAACCAAAACAGTAGTGAAGAAACTTACCAAGGTAGCTAAGTTGAAGTCCCTAAATCGTACTTGGAGCTAGTTTAATTTTTCCCTTTGAAATCCAAGTAAACCTATGCGAGTTCACGACACTTAATTAGCACAGATCGAGCAAAATGAAATACGGATGAAAATCCAGAATACTGTTAACATAATAGAAAAGAAAAATAAAAGAAAAATACAAGAAGAAAAAGGAAGAAAAAGGAGATATTGTAAAGCCAAACCATTAACGAAAAAGAATAGAATAGAATAGAAAAAATGTTAACATAATAGAAAAGAAAAATAAAAGAAAAATACAAGAAGAAAAAGGAAGAAAAAGGAGATATTGTAAAGCCAAACCATTAACGAAGAAGAATAGAATAGAATAGAAAAAATGTTAACATAATAGAAAAGAAAAATGAAAGAAAAATACAAGAAGAAAAAGGAAGAAAAAGGAGATATTGTAAAACCAAACCGTCAACGAAAAAGAATATAATAGAATAGAAAAAACAAAAAGAAGAAAGAAATACGGTAAGAAAATTTAAGCAAACATGTGGGAGCAAGAATTGATTAAAAGAAAAAGGAGAAATTTAATGAATTAAAATAAATACGGTTAATTTTAAAAATACATAGATGAAATTTAATAGAGTAAATGTTGAACATAATTAAAATTAATAAAAAAGGAAGTAGATGAAAAAGAGGAAATTTAATAGAGAAAAAATTAAGGATTTTGTAAATATTAAAAGATAAAACTGAAGAAATATCATGTCAAGAAACTCCATCGAATTCTTTCTAGTAACAATATCTTCCCTAAAAAAGTAATAATAGAAAATAAAATATTTAATGAAAATGGAATTATATATATATATATGTAACCCTCCAAGACTCAGCTCATAGAATCTCTAATGCTCACATGATGTCTAACACATGGACCATTGTAAAATTTAGAAAATTGAAATAAAAAAGGAAGGAGATGAAAAAAAGGAAATTTAATAGAGAAAAAATTAAGGATTTGGTGAACATTAAAAGATCAAATCAAAGAAATATCATGAAACTCCATCAAATTCTTTCTAGTAACAATATCTTCCCTAAAAAAGTAATAAAAGTATATGGTTAGGTTATGGATAGAAAGGGATAGGATTATGATAGATTGATAGAATGATAGCGTTAAGATACGTTCCTGTAACGATATGACTAAGGTATATTCATGAAACGATATCACTATGATAGGTATAAGAATGTTAAGGCTATGATAAATTAGGGAAGGATATGACCATGAAGTGTTTACGATACGATATGATTATGATACGACACCAGAATTACAGATATATATATATATATATATATATATATATATACACACACACATTGTGATATGATATGAAATATGTTAGGGTATGAGACAAGTGATAAATGACATGTTTATGATATGATATATTGTGATGGTATATGTAACACCCGAACCCCAACGAGAAACTTAAAACCTAAGTTTTCCCCTCTAAGTGAAATACTGAGATTTTATTGAGCATGTTAGAGACTGAATTTTAAGATGAGGTAGAAGAGAAAAATGTTTAGAAATATCTGAGGATCTCAAGAAAAATATAAAAAGAAAAATGGTAGAAAATTAGAAAAATGGTGAAAGTAAACCCGGGGGTAATTTGGTCATTTTGTCATCTTCCTCCTTAAGAACCAGAAAGGGAGGTTAGTAAAAGATGAATAAAAGAATAGAAATAAAAAGGGTAAGGGAAGAGAGGAAAGAAAAAGAAAAGAAAAAGAAAATAGAGAGAGAAAGAAAGTTCTAGAGAGAAAGAGAAGTAACCGCTACTTCCAATTTGGCCACAAGGAGTTTAATTCCAGTGAGATTTCTTCACAAATCCTTCGCAGAACCTATAGGAAGCTTTCTGGACCCTTGAATCATTCAAAACCGTCAAGGAACGAAGAAAATCCGTAGGTAAATTCTTGAACATTTGTTTTCGGATTTTCCTCGGATCTATGAGAAATATTGGGAGTTAGATTCTGAAATTTGAGTATGTTAATTCAGAGAGGATTACGCTTTTAATCCGTGAAGGAAGTCTTAATCGATTCATATCAGAAATAGGAGTTTCAGCTTTCACCAAAGGATGCAAGTATTGTTGATCTTGCCAACTTTGGACCAAGTTTATTATGTCTATAGTTAGAAATAAATTACAAGAAAAATACCTATATGTAGATGGATATGAGATCTATAAATCTCGTGAAGAAATCCCGTTAATCTGAGTTGTGTAGAAAGAAATACGAAAATGCAAAGAAAATAGAAAATAATCAGTTTTCTGGAAAATCGCAGATATGAGAGGAAGAAGACGAACGACGGAGGTGTTGGGTTTTAATGTCCAAAAACTCATAGTTTGTAAACAAAGATATATTCTATTTTCAATAAAGTTATTATTGATGTTTATTCAGAAAAAATTGTTCTTGAATAAAGTGAACTTTACGATCATTAATCTAAATCCAATAAACTAAGAACACTCTGGCTATAGTATGATTACTTGAACTATATGTAGAGACATAAAAGTGGATCAAGTCCAAGTATATAGCCAAAATGATTTATAGTATAAGGATAAGGCTGAGTACCTTATTCTGGGGACACTATGGATGCGGCCCACTTTTGTATATGATATAAACAATGTGATCACTAAATTGTACATGTGGAGACATGTGAGTGGGGGCATCCTATGCAATGAGTATTGCAAAAAATCGGACCATGAAGAAAATCACTCTCACGTTATAATGTCGTTTACTGTTGAGACTGATTTTCTTTTCATTCGATGACCTAGGTAACTCGATCTTAATCCTGAGCTAACCATGAACTCCTATTCATTCGGAATTATCCTTAGATTTGCATGGGTGAGAGTGGCTCGAGTTCGCCGACTCTATAGGCCTTCCATTTCAGGGGTAAGACTAGGTGAATAGCTGGGGACGTGGGGTGCAAGATGGAATTCGCTCCTACCCACTTTTAAGAGAGGTAGGTTCCTTAAGTACTGACTCCAGGTCTTGAACAAGGGGCTCCACCTACTCATTGGCCTGAGAGGGATTCGGTTTACTTGTTGGACCACAAACCAATTGTTCATAAGAGGATTAGTGGGACATATGGAATAAGAAGTAACTTCAGGGGTAAAACGGCTAATTGACCCAACTCTAGTTACGAACAACTTGTGAAGGATCGACTTATTAATCATGGTTATATCAAATGGACAGAAATATATCTATAATGATTGGAGTGCAACTACTAGGCTATAGTAGAGTGTCCTAGTAGTTAACGAATGTTGGTTAACAAGGTTAATGAGTTTAACCGGTTAATCTTGGATCGTTGGAGCCCATGATCTATAGGTCCATTAGGTCCATTCGCTAGCTCATATCGGACTAAACCATAGAACAGTGTGACGAGTGAGTTCGAAGTGTTCGAATTCAAATTAGGGAATATGCGTTACATATATACGATATATTTTACCGCATTTTTGTTTTATTTACGAATATAACAAAAAAAGAGAATATGAGATATTTAAATATCTTAATCAATTATGTGTCGGAATTGATTGGGATTGGCATTTGAATTAATATTAAATATTAATTAAATAGTTTAATTAATCATTTAATGTTACTTTAATATGAAATTCATTATTCAAATTAATTGTTGAATTAAAATGAAGAAAGTCAAAATGTTGACTTCATTTAATGGAAAAATCCATGTTAGTGGAATTTTGAGGTGTCAAAATTTGGTTTAACCAAACTTGCATGTTTGCCAAATAAACCTCACAAGTTTGAGTGGAATGTTAAGTGTCAAAATTTGGTGATCTCAAATTTGCATGAACATGCAAACATGGCTCTTTAAATAGAGTGATCATGGTACATGGAAGGGCTCCTTCTTCTGGGTGAAAAACCTTTAGAAAAACCACTCACAAACACTCTCTTCACATATACAAAATCCCTCCCAAGTTTAGTCACTCACCGGATTCTACAATCCCGTTATAAGGCCGAAGAATAGTGGAGAAGACACTAGTGGTGGTTCGAAACCGGTTCGTGAGGAAAAAGGAGTTTGAACTAGGAAAGGTTAGTATCTAAACTCATTAAGTTTTAATACTTATGAACATGCTAGTTTTTTTTTTTACTATAATTGATGTTCTAAAAGTGCCTAAGATCCAAATTGCTTCCGCATGTGTTATATTAACACCATTAGGAGGGACGCATGTCAGGAAAGGAGAGTGTCGCGCATCGTCTGAAAGATAGGACACATGTTAGGCGTGAAAAGGCGGGGGAAAATTTACGAAAAATACTACGTTACGTAGGGTTTGAAGATCGGCGCCCGCTACCAGATTCGTGAACCTGCATGCGACCAGAACCCGCATTTGCCACGCGTCAGCGTGGGAAAATTCGTAGGAACCCACGTGCGTCCAGATTCGAACACACGCCCTGCCTCTCAGTGGACCAGTCAGCCCTCGCCACGTGGCGACACACCAACGTGCGACTCCATCCCCTCAACGCATCCATACGCGTGCGTGTCTGTGCGCGTAGGAAATCCCTCCGGCACGTGAGGCACGTGAACCAACGCGTGAGATCTATTTGTATCCTGATTTGACTTCTGTCCGACTATTTTTCATCTCAGTTTTGATACTGATCTAAGTCCAACTTGTATTAGGACCTATCAAGGAAATTCCAGAATTTTTGTAACCTTTTCCAGCAAATAATTCGAGCTTGGGAAGGCACGCATCAACTATGTAAGTAGCCATTTTGATTCCCACGAGCAGTACTTGTAGGAACCGCTAGGAACGAGCATGCATGCTACCACCCATAAACTTAGCTAGCCGGACCTAGAATATTTGTATGGAAACTGCGAAAATGAAATGATTAAGGATAGCTAGAGTTGAGTAGGGTAGATAGTGTCATCAGAACCTCCACTTCCCTCTCTCCTCCAATACCGTACCGTCAAGACAGAGCTCCAGTACGGAGATCATTGAGCTTGGCAGATCCGGAAAGGGAAGTGTGACAGGTGCCCAGACCTAGTGGTGATAGCTAAGGGGTCTTCTGAATAGGACTCCTGGGCCGTAGAAACCCATCCCTGAGCGGGGGACGTGGAGCCACACAGGATGACACAATAGTTGACCGGCACAAAGAGGGTCGCACCCTGAATTTAGTGGATGTATGGTCCCATGTGAGGGTCATCAGCTAACCTTTACGGATTATGTTAAGAGAGAGTCACGTATTCAGATCCAGCCATACGATCCCCTCAGATTTACTTATGAGGTCGGGTCTCACCTCAGGATACTGATCATTTCACTGCTTAAGATGGGCAAACCTCCTAAGATATAGAAAAAAGAGTTGCAGCTTAGATCACTCTCCTTAGAAACCCGAGAAAGACCGTGGATACCTACCAAGAAAAGGATGCGAAAAGAGCCTAAAAGTAGGTTGCTTACAGAGTATATTTTTATACTCACCCCTTTCTTCACTTTTTTTTTCAGGTACCAGTCGATACGAGGAGGTGTTCAAGAGCTGCACTCTCACAGAGGGCTGTCATTCCGGAGCGTCAGTCCCTTTTCAGTCTTTGAAAGTTATTTGTCCATTTTTATATTTAGAGTCTTTTGTATTTCATTTTATATTTGTAATTACTATTTGTAACATTTGACTTTGATTTTATATTTAATTTTGGTGTCCTTGATTTTATTTTCTTGTTTTAAATTTTGCCAGATTTTAACTTCTATTTTATTTTCTTTTTATTTTTATTTATTTTCGATTTTGTCTTTTTACTCACGATTCGGTCTTTCGAAGCCTCGAAAGTCTGGTCGTGACAGTATATGTTATGGTATGATAGGTATGAAATGTTACATCTTTGTACTCATTCCTTATTCTCCATTTTTTTTCAGGTAAGGAGCTGGTCGAAGTTGGGAGTGGACTCTTGGGCAGGTGCCATAGAATAACCTCACCCGTCATCCTCAACTCTTTTGTTTGAAAATGTTTTGAGTTCGTTTCTTATTTTGTGTTTTAAATATTGTCGTGCTGTAAATTACTTATGTGCACACATTATTTTGTTATAATATTGTCTCACTCTTTGATCGCCCTTCATGATTCCATTGGTCTTAGACCTCTAAAGGTGTTCAATCCAAAGTCTCGACCCACCAATCTACGTGCTTACCTTAGACTTAACTCGATTCTGTTGCTTATTCTTAAAAGGGAGGGATCACACAATCATTCACTAGGAGTCACACATGCTCAATGGGGCGATAACTTCCATCGAGCACCTAGAGGGCTGATAAATAAACATCTCATCCACTGTCACAGCATGATTACGTACACCAGTAGTAAAGTATATCAAGATAGTATACTGGGTAAGACAACAAATTTCAACAACTAGCTCATATCGGACTAAACCATAGAACAGTGTGACGAGTGAGTTCAAAGTGTTTAAATTCAAAATAGGGAATATGCGCTACATATATACGATATATTTAACCGCATTTTTGTTTTATTTATAAATTAAACAAAAAGAGAGAATCTAAGATATTTAAATAAGATTTAAATATCTTAATCAAATATGTATCGGAATTGATTGGGATTGGCATTTGAATTAATATTAAATATTAATTAAATAGTTTACATTTAATATTACTTTAATGTAAATTAGTTATTCAAATTAATTGTTGAATTAAAATGAATAAAGTCAAAATGTTGACTTCATTTAATGGAAAAATCCATGTTAGTGGAATTTTGATGTGTCAAAATTTGGTTTAACCAAACTTGCATGCTTGCCAAATAAACCCCCCACCAATTTTAGTGGAATTTTGAGTATCAAAATTTGGTGAACTCAAACTTGCATGCTTGCCACATAATCCCAAACATTTTAGTGGAATTTTGAGTGTCAAAATTTGGTGATCTAAAATTTGCATGAACATGCAAACATAACTCTATAAATAGAGTGATCAT